CACGAGAAAGAATAAAGTTGGTTAAAAGGAGGAAGTTAGTGAGTAACACCAGCTTAAATTAAAATTTGTGTCAACTCACTCTGACGAAGAACACGTCAGCTGCTGTGCACCAGTGCATTACTGTAAACTGACCACAGTACGGCATGCTAACCTGTTCATCCTGCACTAAACTGCCGATCTTTGAATAACTGAAAGTTCAGTTTGTTTTGCAGGACATTTCACAATATTTAAAGCTCCTATATCTCAGAAAATGAGAATATTATAAGCATTAAATTTTCTAGTTTTTCAAATGTGATATCTGCTGAGCTGATACCTGTCACTTTAAAGCATCACTCCATTTATAAATCAGTCCGTGTGTAGAGGATGAACTGAAGGCCTGCGCCAAGGCCCAGTAAAAGATAAATGTGAATAATGCAAAGCTATGCTAGCAGAGGCAGCAAATAAAGCTACAGAGCTGATAAAGAGGATACTAGGTAGTTCATACAACAGGTGGCAGTTTTCAGCAGTCCACTGATGGTATTTATTTGTAGTTTAAGCCTCCGCTCTGCTGTGTCAAGGTATTTTTTTGGTATACAGGAAACAGAGCTCAACTGCTATTGTATTCATTCATATTATGGCAAGTCCATCGTTACTTTATCAATTTAGGTCAGGACAGAAGAACTCTTAAAGTTTCTTCCAAAATGATCAGTTGCTGTAAGGACACAGACTCTCATGAAGACAAAAGGAAGACTACCAGCTCCCTTTGCTGCAGAGTTACCAGCCTCAGAATCAAATCAACGATTAACAGCCTCTCATATTCATCAGTGGCCTCATTAATGCTTGACAGACGCTAGGCAGCGCACACATTTTATTTTATTAGCTTTTTGGAAGAGAATGGGAATCAGGCCTTTAAGCTTATAAGGCTACTAAGAAAACCACGGCTGAGGGAGACCAGGAAACACAAGGAATGGAAACTAGACCAGTGGAAGTCTAGACTCTCGTCCAAAAACGTCAGTGTGAGCTTCTTGATTTAAGATGCTGTATTTTATGAGATACAGCAAGTGGCAACAGAAGATTGAGGCGAAGCTCTGAAAGACTGTGGAAAGACTTTGCTGGAGATTGTTGGAGATGTTTTCAAAATTCAAAGCACAACTTGACCCCTACAACCTCCACAACACCCTACTGAGACACAGTTTCTTGTCTAGTTTGAGTAAGACCACCATCATTTTTCAGGAGCAAAATGAGCCAAAAACACATTTCTTTTGACCAAGAAGCAGACTGACAGAGTGACGAGTTAGACTACAGAGTGAAGGAAAAGTCCTCAGCATTTGTTAAACAATGGTACAAAACATTCAGGTTTCATTTTCTTGGTTCCTACTTTGTAGGTGTGTCCAGTCTTTCTAAGACTTCTTGCTAAAGGAAACAAGTTCTATGGATGGTTAGAAGAAAGCACCAACATGAGAAGACGGCACACTGTCTTACCTAAAATGAAGAGGATCTCGACGAGGATGTCGCTGACGCTGGGCGTGCGTGAGGCGCTGCCTTCATCCCACCCTCCCCCGACTGTGAAACACACGTTATAGGGCACAGTGACGGCCACGTAGAAAGTCGCCAGCAGAATTAACCAATCCCAGCCGGCCTTGAAGGTTCCATAGTGGAGCAGGATGAAGCGAGATTTCTGAATGGCTGCTACTTTGTATTCCGGGATTGGAGGCTTCTCCCCAAACATGTTCTGGATTGAGAGGGAGACAGATGTCAACAGCTCTCTCGTTTCAGGTTTTTACATCTTTCTCGTTGTCCCTCTGCCGGGCCACGATAACACGGCCCTGTGCACACACTTATCGAGCCACTTCAAGCTTCGAAAGCCCACACTGTGCAGAGGCGTTATAAAAATCCACAGGAGTGGAGATTTCAGATTCATTCCACTCGATATAACAGTGCAGCCATGAAAGCAGTTTCAACCATTCATAAGTGGGTTAATGCTTTTGCAGAGTTTTAGTAAAGTCTACAAACACTGACAAAATGGTTTTCCCAGCACTAAGAAAGAAGAAGAAATGTGGGACCACTGGTTCCAAGCATTAACTTTCACACCTGTGAAATATGTTTTTATGAAAAAGCCCGAGTTGTTATGATTACCATGATTTTTGCATGTCCAGCATAAACCATTTATAAACTGTACAGATAGGCATTTAGTCTGAAATACAAATGATACAGTTTCATTTTTCTAATGGGATTGTTGTTTTGTTGGGTTTGTTTAATGAGCTCCATTGTAACGTAAAGGTTTTTTGTATTCTGGACTATTTTTATGTGAGAAAGTCAACACGTAATGGAAAAAATGATTTGTTTTAAAGCATAATGAGCAAATCAGGAATCACCTGGTAGCTGATAATCTGTTCATTAGTGAAATTTAGAGTAGATGTTTATTTACTGGCAGTGAGATTTTTATATTAGTGAATCACTGGGTAAAGTTTAGCTCAATATTATCTGATCTAACTCATACATCCATTAATTCCTGATTGACTCTGCAGACACTGAACATTTATTACTGATTACATAGAGCCTGAATCATTTCTTTGATTACTTTACTTAATTAAAGAGTCATTCTTTGGGTAACGGTGAGATTCTCATTAAGTAATAAAGACTTACTGAGTAAGAACTGGGTGCTTCATAACATGAACCTCCCATAAGATATTTTTTTATGTCCTGACTGCTTTTTTTAGCCTGGGTCAGGAGTCATTAGAGTTTCTAGATCATTAGCTATCACGTGATTCCTCGTTTGCTTCTCAGTTTTTGTACACAAGTTATAAATTTCCCTCTTTTGAGAAGTTAAAAAAGCAAATAATGATCGCCCTGGGTTGGAGGTCATTGAACATGCAGGGTGCAAACTGCATCGGTCTGCATGTTTCCTAATCACTGACATCAGCTAAATGTAGATCAGCTTTACCACGGAGTAAACCAAAACCAAGCATAGTCCTCTTGTCCTTCACGCCATCTGTCAGGGTGTGCGCTGCCCGCTGGACTGCAGCAGACCTACAGAGAGGTCAGCTCACTAACACACAGCCATAATCATCATCTCATGTGATTTCAGGTCTGAGCAGTAATGATAATTTCCCATTTCATAACATTTCGTTGCCAGTTTGCAGTGTTCTTCTTCTCTTGGCTCTTGACAGAGGCGGTCGCACTTTCTCCTTCTCCCTCTCCTTCATCTTCCCTGCTTGGCTTCTCATGTCTTTTGTATAGTCTCGCTTATTCTCAAACCCTAAGAGAGTCTCCCAGACTTGTTCTCCTAAAACCTAAAGAAGAATTATGGATTTAATCAACTGGTCCCTTAACAAAACTGACAACTCTGGGCTTGGGAGAGCCTGATTGTCCTGCGGAGA